CCTTTCCTGCTCACCATGCTATGCAATATCCTTATACCCAAACCGCACCCCTCCCTTCATAGCAACGACCACAGGTGTGGTCATTATTTGTCTGTTGGTTTACTTGTTTATTGTCTGAGGCAACAGCAGGCTGAGGGTACGCGGTGGTGGCACGTTCCATGTGAACACAAGCCTGGCATACTTGTGGAATGCACGAATTCCCCCTAAACTGTGAGCCCCGTGATATACCAACGCCTCTGTGTTATCTCTGGCCACAGCTGTTCATGCTGCTTTTGGGGGCCAGTAAGCAAGGCAAACTTTCTGGTTGAAAAACCCCTTGCCCTGGGGCTTGGCCAGTGTTCTCAGAACAGCTGGTAAAACTGTATTTGTACCAAGGCAGGGGCCTCAGAATATTAGTGTCCACCTTCCTCCTTTGCAACGCAGAACTGGGCAAAGGTGAAGACTGGCTGTGCCTGGAGAAAAGAGCAAACTGGACCCAAGAGGCAGGCGATCTCATTTCCAACAATCTTTATGGTCAGATGGAGGAACTGTGGGGTTGGGCTCATGAGGTGTGCTCCCTGACCTTATTTTTCACGACGGAGCTAGAATGTAAGAGGGCACCTGCAGTCAGTCTGCCCGAGCACGTGCCTGTCGCGGGGCTCCCGCCTGTGCGACCGCAGCATGCTGCCTGCTCAAGGTCTACTCAGATTCTCCCAGGACCAGCTGAGAGTTTTGTAGTTGCAAGTGACAAAAAACCCAACCCAAATTGGCTTAAGCAAATATAGAATTTATTGCCTTTCACAATCTGAAAAGTCCAAGGACAAGGCTGGCTTTACATGCAGCTTGATCAGGGGCTTAAGCAATATTCTCAGTGCCTGGTGCTCCTTCTGGGTGTCTCTGGGCTCCACTCCTCTGGGTGACCTGTTCTCCTCCAGTCCCTCCTCCAGTGGTAGCAGGGAGGCTACTGCAGCTCCAGCCTTAAGTGCTTCCTGTGGTCAAGTTCAGCAGGAAAGAGTATAGCCAACCTCTTTTCCAGCGGTCCCAGAAGGCTCCTGGTACTTTATTGACTTGAATGTGGTCCCTGAAGATCAAAGTGGGTAGGTCCAAGGTGCAGGCCCACCCTGGGAGCAGAAGGAAGAGTCAGATTCCTCCCGTATCTGGAGGGTGACACTGCAGTGATTTTTGTCAAAAATTTAAATGAAAAGAAAAGGAACTAGAATAGCAAAAACACTGTTTAAAAAGGAGAATGCAGTTGGAGGACTCACTTTATGTGGTTTGAAAACGTCCTAGAAAGTGACGGTAACCAAGACAGTGAGGTACTGGGGAAAGGAGTACCACACAGATGAGTGAATGAACCACACAAAGAGCCCAGAGACGGACCAACACACATATATGGTTAGCTGGGTTTGGGCAAATGTGCAAAGGTAATTCAGTGGAAAATGTTTAGTCTTTTCAACAAAATGTGCTGGAACAATTGGACATCCGTATGCAACAACAACAACAAAAAAAGAACCTCAACCTATATCCACACCATAACAAAAAATTAATTCAAAATGGTCTTAAATCTAAATGTAAAACTATAATATTTCTAGAAAAAAGCATTGGAGAAAGTTTCCCAAGGTCACAAAAATTTCTTAGATATGACATAATCCATAAAATATAAAATTGGCAAAATGAACTTCATCAAAATTTAGAATATTTGTCTTGTGAAAGATGATATTAAGAGAATTCAGAAACCGCACGCTGTGGGGAAATATTTGCAAATCATATATTTAACAAAAGTCTTTTATCTAGAATATATAAAGAACTCTAAAAACTCGGTAATAAGGGAAAGTTATCTCTGAGCCTACTGGTGGTCTTCCCTCTACTGTGTCTCCTCCCTTCCTTTTGGTTCCATCTGGTGGGGGGGATGTCTCTTGTATTTTTAGGTACAATATGACTCTGTTACAATAAAAACATATTTGAAAACACACACACACACACACAGAACAGAAAGAAAAAAACACTCAGTGATAAGGAAACAACCTGATTAAAAAATATGCAAAGATTTAATGGCCACTTCACCAAATAAGATACCTGGATGGACGATAAGCATAAGAAAAGATGCTCAACATTGTTAGTCACTAGGAAAATGCATATTAAAAACCACAGTGAGCCCTGGCCGGTTTGGCTCAGCCGTTAGAGCATAGGCCTGTGGTCCAGAGAGACCCGGGTTCGGTTGCCGCTAAGGGTAGGCACCTCGGTTGCAGTTTGTCCCCAGCCCAGGTTGGGTCGTGAGGGTGGCAACCACTCGATGTGTCCCTTTCATATCAGTGTTTCTCTCTCTCTCTCTCTCTCCCTCCCACTCTATCTGAACAAAATAGGGAAAAATGTCCTCGGGTCCTCGGGTAAGGATTAAAACAAACAAACAAAAAAACCCACAGTGAGCTCTGGCGGGTTTGGCTCAGCGGTAGAGCGTCGGCCCACAGACCAGTGAATCGCAGGTTGGAGTCCAGTCAAGGGCACGTACCTCCGTTTGGTTTGTCCCCAGCCCTGGTCGGGTCATGAGGGAGGCAACCAATGGATGTGTCTCTCTCACATCAATGTTTCTTTCTCTCTCTCCCACTCTATCTGAAGATAAAATGGAAAAAAGTATCCTTGGTGATTTAAAAAAACAACAACAGTGAGATACCACTTTACAACTATTATAATATAGTTTAAAATTTTTAAAGTGTGATAAGACTGAGACTGGAGAAGATGCCGAGCAACGGGAACTGTCACACATTGCTGGTGGGAATGTAAAATGCTCCAGGCACTCTGGACAGTTTGGCAGTTTCACACCAAGTTAAACATCCACTTGCTATATGACTCAGCCATCCCACTCCTAGTCATTTACCCAAGAGAAAAAATATGTTTTTCACCCAAAGCACTGTACCAAATGTTTAATTTTTTTTTTTATCCTCACCTGAGGACATTTTTCCATTTTTTGTTCAGATAAAGTGGGAGGGGGAGAGAGAGAGAGAGAGAGAAACGTCGACGTGAAAGGGACACATCGAGTGGCTGCCACCCACACGACCCAACCAGGGCTGAGGACAAACTGTAACCGAGGTGAGTGCCCTTAGCTGGAACCGAACCAGGGTCTCTCTGGACCGCAGGCCGACGCTCTAACTGCTGAGCCAAACTGGCCAGGGCAGTACCAAATGTTTATAGTGGCTTTATTTATGATCAATAAAAACTAAAAAGAATCCAAATATTTTACCTGGTAAATGGATAAATAAATTGTGGCATATTCATACAATGGAAGACTCTTCACTAATTAAAATGAACAAAGTATTAATACAACATAGAAGAATCCAAAATCCATATGCTAAGTAAAAGAAATCAGTTTCAAAAGGCTGTCTACTGCATGATTCCATTTCTATGGCATTCTTGGAAATACACAATTATAGGCTCAGAAAATAGACCAGTGGTTGGGGATGTAGGAAAGGTTGACTACAAAGGGGAAATTTGTTGGGCAACAGAACTGTTCTGATATCTTGATGGTGTTGGTGATTATACAACTGTTTGCATATAAAACTGTACACAGAAGGAGTGAGTTTTATTGTGAGTAAATTTTAAAAACATAAATGAGGTGAAAATGAAACAGACAAAAAATGCTACTCTGAGTTCCCTTCAACATTTCTGAGATTCAGACCTGCTGCTGATGGTAAAAGACAAATTACTCATAAGAATGAAATTATATTTGCTTTTCAAAATGGGCAAAGAAAAAGGGGAAAAAAGCTAAGCTTATGAGTACCAAGTAAACATAGTAAATACTTTATTAGTTTGGGCTCTTAAACTGTCAGTTTCCTTATGCAAGATTTTCCCAGAAACTGCCATGCAATTTTCTTATCCCTCAGAATGTAGCTTTTAAAAGACTCCTATCTTTTTAGATTTGTTTTTCAAGGATCGAGCCTCACAAATACTGTCTAAAATAGACAATGTCTCACCTAGAGTGTATAATTTGATTATTTTCAGGCATCATGCTTATTTTAATATTTTACTATCCAGTCAAGTCATCCATCTGCTGACTCCTGATTTTTTAACAACAAACTTGGCATCACTGGGCTCCAGGAAGCTTCGCACTGGGTATACCCTTCTAACTTTCTGAAATGTCATTTAATATCATCCTACATCATTACTCAACTGTCCACATGAGGGACAGTAGAATAGAAGAACTTAATTATCAGGTCAAATTTCATAAGATTTTGGATCCAAAATCTTATTTTAAGAAAGTCCATTTCTACTGTAATTAGGTCATCTACATGTCATCCTCTTAACCTTCATAATCAAATCAATTAATGGCTTTGTTAATCTGGAGCTATCAGCCCCTGTAAAACATGCTATGATTTAATTCTATTATGAGAAAAAATATGTAAGCATCTGGAGGCTAACAATATTACAAATATAATTTAAAACTGTAATTGGGTGCTCATGACGCAATTTCAGATTAACACTTAGAAAAAAATTCTTGGAAAATATATTTTTCATTAGATAAAAGTTATAATGTCATCAAGAGTGGTCATTGGATACTGGATGTTTCATATTAACATACTGGGTGGATGTTTGTCAGAGACTCTTGAGTGACATTCAAAATCATTTGTACCCTTTATCATGAGAATAAAATATCACTGGACCAAGTCACTTAGAATAAACTGCGTTAGATCTATCATTGCTTTTCTTTTCTGAAGAAAAACTGGGCTGAACAAATGGGTCATGAATCAGTGTCGTTTGTTGCTGAGCGTCTTCATTGTGAGGTAGACGTGACCATTTTGGAAATCCCAGGTAGGACGGTGTGTGGGCCTGGGCAAGACCGGAGACCCGGCTGGCTCAAGCCTTATCTTCCCAACCGCCGCAGAAAGGGACATACGATCTAAAACAGATGAATTTGCCCTTTTTAAAAAATAAAATACTGAATTAGTAAATTAACATAAACTTCGAGATTCCAAAGTATGAAACACTGAATGTTCAGAATAAAATTACACTATGTTAATTTTATTCAGGAATGGACAGACCACAAATTACGCTGGGATCCTGATGACTATGGTGGAATTCATTCGATTAAAGTCCCATCAGAATCTCTCTGGCTTCCTGACATAGTTCTCTTCGAAAAGTAAGTATCACAAGAGAAAAGGACACTGGGTAGATCACAATGAGAAACAGAAAAGCCTGATGTTGGTAAAATAATTAAGAGAAACACACAACTTCAAGTGAGAAGGGAATTGTTTCTTTTTGAGATATTGTTTGACCCTGCAGCAGGGAAGTCATTAAATACAAATAGTACAGGGGTAGGCAAAAACAAAACAAAAAACTAGGAAGTGCTCAATTTACCATGAAAGTGAAATTACTTTTACTACAGTGCGGATGGACGTTTTGAAGGCTCCCTCATGACCAAAGCCATAGTGAAATCGAATGGAACTGTCATTTGGACGCCTCCTGCCGGTTATAAAAGTTCGTGCACCATGGACGTGAAGTTTTTCCCATTTGACCAGCAGAACTGCTCCATGAAGTTTGGGTCCTGGACTTACGATGGTACTATGGTCGACCTCGTTTTGATCAATGAAGATGTCGACAGAAGAGAATTCTTTGATAACGGAGAGTGGGAAATACTAAATGCAAAAGGGACGAAGGGAAACAGAAGAGACGGTTTATATTCCTATCCATTCATCACTTACTCCTTCGTTCTGCGTCGCCTGCCCCTGTTCTACACCCTCTTCCTGATAATCCCCTGCCTGGGCCTCTCTTTTCTGACAGTTCTCGTGTTCTACTTACCTTCTGATGAAGGAGAAAAACTTTCCTTATCAACCTCTGTTCTGGTTTCCCTGACAGTTTTTCTTCTAGTGATTGAGGAAATAATCCCATCTTCTTCGAAGGTCATTCCTCTCATTGGAGAGTACCTTTTGTTCATTATGATTTTCGTTACCCTGTCGATTATTGTTACCGTGTTTGTCATCAATGTTCACCACAGATCTTCTTCAACTTACCATCCCATGGCCCCCTGGGTTAAGAAGCTATTTCTGCAAAAACTTCCTAAATTACTTTGCATGAAGAACCATGTGGATCGCTACTCTTCCCCAGATAAAGAAGTGAGCGAGCGGGGAACGAAAGGTGAAGTCCTAGAAAAAAAGAAACAGAAACAGATGAGTGATGGAGAAAAAGTTCTGGTTGCTTTCCTGGAAAAGGCCGCTGATTCCATCAGATACATCTCAAGGCACGTGAAGAAGGAGCATCTTACCAGCCAGGTCAGTACACTGGTGTTCGTAAATTGAGGTGTGCAAGAGGGAACATTTTCACTGATTGACAACAAAATGCTGTCATTGTTTAAAATGTGACATTGTTAGCTGCCTGCTTTATGTGTATGAAACTGAAAACAAACCCTGACATAATTTAGAGATTTGGTTATGGACTTTCAGTTCACAAAAATAGAATAAGCAAAAGTGAAGTAACTACAGATTAAGCACTATTTCTTATGATCAGACTTAATTTTATTTAAAATAATTCAATTCTACATTTTAAATAGGCCATTCTGGTCTCTGGTAATTTCTCATTTTTTATGGGATGATGGATGTTTCTATTCATAGTGTTTGGAAGTAAAGAAACAGAAAGAATCAGATTGTTAAACTAATATAAAAATACAGTGTAACAGGCAATATTGTGGTGAGAGAAAAGGGTATAGTTATTTTGCTTACAGATTTGAGCAGAAAAAAAGTGACAAAAAGTGAATTTCAGACTCAAAACAGTCCTGCATTCAGATCCTACCTATATTCTATATGACTTGACACATGGTACATAATCCCCTTATAGAAGAAATAGGACATTTATGTTCCCTTGAAAGATGACGACTGGCCCGTCCTCCAGACTTCTCCAGCCTCCTGCTTGTTCCTGCTCTGACCTTGCCCTTAGTGGCCTGTGGCCCACACCCTCCTCTTCCCTTTCTCCAGAGGGACTTGGTCTCCTCTCTTCCTCATGAATTCCTGCCATCACCTGGTCAGTTCTCCTTTTTAGCAGTGCCCACCATTCGGGAGCTGAAGCAGACAAAATCGCATGTGGAGTTGAAGAAAAGTAGGCTTGTGACAGTGGGTCATGAAAATTCGTAATTCATAAATTTCATACAGTTTCATTTCATTTTGTAATATCAGGAAGCATCACACTGAGAGACATGGCTTTTTACTTGTGTAAAAAACAGGCTTTCCCCATTTTAATCAGCAATGTTTACAAATGCATAAATGATTCTATTGTTTCTATTTTACACCTTCAATGTTGATGGACGTGTTCACAGGCTCTGTTAGTGAAGTGACCGGGAAGAATCCGAGCCTATACTGTGGGTGATGTGTTAGTTGTGTTTTGAAAACTGATGGGCTGTGAATTTGAATATTATTTTAAATCCCTTAGAATGAATTCAGAATGGTTGCCCAGCATCTTAAGTGAAAGGTATCTTGTTCTCTTTTGCAGGTAGTACAAGACTGGAAATTCGTAGCGCAAGTTCTCGACCGCATCTTCCTGTGGCTCTTTCTGATAGTGTCAGTGACAGGCTCTGTTCTGATTTTTACCCCTGCTTTGAAGATGTGGCTACATAGTTACCACTAGGAGCAAGTCTTCAGAGCCATCTAATATCCATACCATAATGACAATTACACCTTAGAACTGACATCCAGCTGACATGTCTATATGGTATCCAAATGCATATGCTTATTGGAAGGGCCCATGTTGTCCTCATGGAAACGGAGCCTTGGTAAATGTGGGTTTGCCCACAAGTAAATTTGTGGTTGCCATTAGAGTAGGTTGGGTTTAAGTAAAGCAGAACCTCCACAGCCCCCTGCCTTAGCTTCCACAGACATTCAGGAAGGAGTCATGTGTTCAGGCCTGAGATTACAAGCCAGGACACACAAGAACGGTCGCTGGTTGGTGGACTGATGCTCTTAGGAAGTTGGACTGAGGCCTAAGACTGAGGCCCACAGAGAGTTCAAGGAGGCCTCTGAGTGAAGGTATGAAGGTATTTGTGTGGGAAGGACTTGGTTCTTCTGTATCTACTGCCATCCTGGTGGTTTTGCCTGAGATGCACCTTGTACTGGGTGTTATGAATAAACAAATCTCAACAACCATTTGGGAAATTACACTGGGATGACAGCACCCAGCACAGTATAATTGTTACTGTGAAGATTCCCAGATATCTCTGGTCAACTCAAGTCCCCCAAACATGGTATTCGTTAAAAATGGTCTTGCTTGAATGTGGTAAGGCTGGTGTTATTCTAGGCTTTCCATTCTGTCTCTTTTCTTCCTTTCTTTGTTTTTTGGTGAGAGCATTTAAGTTCTACTCTCTTTGGATTATTCATAGGGTTACAGAGGTTTTCAGATAGTGAAACTGCTGTGAACTATGTCTTGCTTTAAGGTCATATCAAAGTAACTTATAATAGAAACAATGTCATCTGTTACCAGAAGTACAGTCATTAATGCCCATTATCTTTTCCTAGAAAATTGAAATACAGGTACTGAACATTCTCTGATGATGGTATTTTTAAGTCCCCACATCTAATCTAATCCATTTCAACAGTACCCTCTTCCGTTACGTTTCTTTCCTTCCTTCCTTTTCCCCTTCCTTCCTTCCTTCCTTCCTTCCTTTTCTCCTTCCTTCCTTCCTTCCTTCCTTCCTTCCTTCCTTCCTTCCTTCCTTCCTTCCTTCCTTCCTTCTCTTTTTTTGGTGAGAACAGGTAATTTACACTCTCTTAGCAAACTTCAACTACACCATACAGTGCTATCAACTACAGTCACCATGTTTTACATTAGATCTTCAGACTTCATTCATCCTATGACTGAAAGTTTGTACCCTTTTGCTAACATCTCCTAATTTCCCTTTCCTGCACAAAACTGGCAAACATTTTTTCACTCTCTGTTTTCTGAGTTCGACTTCTTTGGCATGTGTGTGTGTGTGTGTGTGTGTGTGCACATATAAGTGATCTCTAATTTATCTCAACCTGATGCCGTGTGGGTTCATCTGTATTGTTGCAAATGACAGGATTTCCTTCTTTTTAAGGCTGAATTATATTCCACTGTGCACATACATATATATGCCACATTTTCTGTATTTATCCATCCATCAAAAGACACTTAAGTTGTTTCTATATGTTAGCTATTGTGAATGATGCTGCAATGAACATGGGAGTGCAGATATCTGTTCAAGAAGATCATTGTGTTTCCTTTGGATATACCTAGAAGTACAATTGCTGGATCATATGGAAGTTTTGTTTAAATTCTATTTTAAATTCTTCAGGAACCTCTATAGTAACTGTACCAACTTACATTCCCACCAACAGTGCACAAGGGCTCTCTCCACACATCTCCATCATTTGTAATCTCTTGTCTTTCTTATGACAGCCATTCTAACAGGTGTGAAATAGTATCTCATTGCAGTTTGATTTGCATTTCCCTGATGTTGAGCATGTTTTCATATACCTGTTGGTCATGTGCATGTTTTCTTTGGAAACATATCTATTCAGGTCTCTTGCCCATTTTTAAGTTGGGTTATTTGTCTTTTTGCTATTGAGTTGTATGAGTTCCTCGTATATTTTTTATATCAACCTCTTATTGGATATATAATTTGCAAGTCTTTTCTCTTATTTCATAGGTTCCTCTTTTATACTGCTGATAGTTTTCTTTGCTGTACAGAAGCTTTTTAGTTTGATGTAGTTCCACTTGTTTGTTTCTATTGTTGCTTTTGTTTTTGGTGTGTAATCAAAATAAATAAATGCCAAGGTGTTTTCCATTATGTTTCCATGTGTGCCCCTGCCCTTCTGGGTGCACTTCGCCACCACCACCCCCAACTCCCTGTCTAAGACTCATCAGGGTGAGTGTGTTCAGATGCTTTTTGCTCTCCAAAATTGCTGCTGCCAAATCCTGGATTTTAGCTTGAAGCAGTTTTTCTCCTTTTCCAGTTCTAAGTCCAAATCCCTCTCTGGATTATTTTGTTTGGGGCATGTTTCTTAAAAACAGTTTGTGTCTGGGACTTTTTAAAACCCAATTTAAGGGTTTAACCCTGTCACGCATGTTGTTACCACAACATGTTTAGTCTTATTTATTATGTTCTGTTTTGTGTTTGCTGTTTAATGCTTTCTTGTTCTTTTCTTTTTCTGCTCTTTTTCAGCCTTGACTGAATTTGTCAGTTTCTTCTTCTTCTCTAATGACTTAAAAGTTATGCATTCATTTCTATAATTTATTAATAAACATATTCAAACTGTTTTTATTCAGTGCTGAGAATTAATACCATTCTGTAGACAAAACAATTTCTTTAGTACCTTCACTTCCACTTAATCACTTATCACTTTTTTATTTTGTCAAAGTCATCCTTATTTTTAGTTCCAAATTATTACTTTTTTATGTATCTCTTTCTTCAGATTAGTTTATTTACAATTCATTTTGTTTGTACCACATTATAAACACATTAATTGTTTTATTCATTTCTTGCGTCACCACTGTTTTTTATCCAATGTTATAGATGTGGATGAGAAGTATGATGAGGGTTGATTCTTATTTCTTATTTCTGTTAGATTCCTGTTTTCTTCCTCCCTGAAACTCTTGGGCTTTTCTCTTTATCTTTGGACTTTAGAAATACCACCTGTGTGGTGTATGGTATAAGTGTCTAAGTATAGAACTTCCTCTCTTTCTCTTTCTCTCTTTTCTCTTGTCTTGGCACTTGTTTACTGATGTCTTTCTCCAATTCATGCAAATTTTCTTCTCTTATTTCTTTTTAATTTTTTATTTATTGATTTTAGATCAATTTGTTGTTCCACTTACTTATGCATTCATTGGTTGATTCTTGTTTGTGCCCCGACTGGGGATTGAACCCACAGCCTTGGCATGTTGGGACGATGCTTTAACCAACTGAGCTACCTGGCCAGAGCTCTTCTCTTATTTTTTTTTTATTATTTCCTGGCCTGCATTCTCACTCTCCTTTCTTTTTCAAATTTCTAATGAAGAGATCTTGATACTCCTGGTTCTGTCTTTCATATTTATTAACTTCTCTCTCATACATTTTATTTCTGTAATTCTTTACATTGTCAGCTTAATGTTATAGCTAACTAACTTGTTCCTCAGCCATCATCTGGTCTTCTAGTCAACCCATCTACTGAGGTGGGATTTTGTTTGTGGTTGAATCATGTATTTGATTTCTAAGTTGTCTTTTTGGCTGTTAACATCCTCTGGAATATTTTGGGAAATACTAATTATAGTTACTTTAAAGTCTTCTTCTGTTTGCATTAACTATTTTTCTTCAGAGGTTAATTCTACTTTTTGTGGTCATGTTACTTACATGTTTGTTGATTTTTTTTAAATATTGTTTATTTATTCAACAGTGAAACCATTTTTAAACAAGAAACCTGGCTCCAGTCAATTTACTTTACTGTCTGTGTCCAAGAAAGCATTTTTTTAGGGTGTGTGAGCAGTACATCTTTCCTATTCAGTGATGCTCCTGCCTTCATAGTAGGCTTACCTCCCTGACTCCAGTGCCCACTCTGGTTTCCCATGTGTCAGAATGCCCACAGTCATGGGGACAGATGACTAGGCCACTATAAAGTAGAGAACTTCTGCAGCTGTCCTAGGCCATTCAATTGATTATTGATAATTACACTTCCTCTTTTTTTTTTTTTTTTGTTCAGGTAGAGTGGGAGGGAGAGAGAGAGAGAAACATCGATGTGAAAGGAACACATCGAGTGGCTGCCACCCGCACAACCGACCAGGGCCGGGGACAAACTGCAACCGAGGTACATGCCCTTAGCGGGAACCGAACCCGGGTCTCTCAGGACCGCAGGCCGACGCTCTAACCGCTGTGCCAAACCGGCCAGGGCAACACTTCCTCTTTAAGTCTCCCCTTATATTATGGTAGGATTATTGTAGAGATTTTTCTTAAAAATGTAATCTCTTTGGTGGTCCCATATTTCCTGCATGGTACCACAATTCCACTGCTGTGTTAGGTTTTACCATAAATCTCTGATCACATCTGTCCTACATATTCCAGCCATTCCCCACCTATCTGGTCTATGAAGGTATGCCAGTCAACTTTCCAGTGTTGTAACAGATTTATTTTCATTTTACATTTCTTCTGAAATATCAATAGGACTTGGAGGAGGAAAAAAAAGAAGGAAACACATCAGCCAGCCATTTTTTACTGGAAATCTTTTAAAAACCCCATTCCCTATAGACATGCCCAATTAACTGTACACGGCAACTAGAATACTGAAGACCAAAGGTGGCACCACACCATGAAAAGAGTGTGAATCTATTTTAAGGGCTCTGAATAATCTTGACTTTGCAGACTGGTGGATGTGGCACAGGGATGGGGACTGGAAAGATGATTCTGTTAGGAATACAAATGCTAATTTATTGACCAAAAATAAAGTGAGGCATGTCTGGAAGTTAATGATCACATATGTTAGACTTGGCAGGAGGACCGCATCCACTCTAACAGGGTTCTTCACCCCTGGCTGGTTACAGTCTCCCCGACATTTGCAATTGTCTCCGAAAGCTTTTCCTGCTTCTAGTCAGAGCTCCGTCCTGTTCAGAACAACTAGCCCTTCTCCTTTTTATACGTAATCTTT